ACTGAATTTGAAGGTATAATTTTACAGAAAGAAAAACAAGATAATAAGTGGATGAGAGGAACAATAAGTAAAATTTACAATATATTACTAGAAGAGAAGGATCACTATGATCCTCTTAAAGAGTCTTGGGAAATAGATTGTGGGCTGCAGGCTAAATATGAGCCCACAATGCAATGCAGCTACAAAAAAGGCAAACATTTCCAAATCAAGAGAAGTAGTAGTTCCACTATACTCCTCACTAGTCAGACCTCACCTGGAATACTGTGTCCAGTTCTGGAAACCAAGATTTAAGAAAGATGCGGGTAAATTAGAAAGGGTCCAGCAGAGGGCAACAAAAATCATCCAAGATTTGGAAACACTGCCCTATGAGGAGAGACTGAGAGAAATGGGCATGTTCAGCCTTGAGAAGAGAAGACTGATGGGGGACATGATATTACCCTGTAAGTACCTCAAAGGCTGTCACAAAGAGGAAGGTCAAGATCTTTTCTTGCTGATACCAGAGTGTAGGACACAGAATAATCAGTACAAGTTGTGCCAACCCAGATTCAGGCTGGAGATCAGGAAAAGCTTCCTCACTGTCAGAGCAATACAACAGTGGAACCAGCTGCCTGGAGAGGTGGTGGGCTCTCCCACACTGGAGACATTAAAAAAGAAACTGGACAGCTATCTGAGTGGGATGGTGTAATGTGGTGTCCTGCAACAGCAGGAGGTTGGACCTGATGGTCTCCTTGGCCCCTTCCAACTCTTCTATGCTGTGATTCTATGTTTCCAAGATACACAGTTATTACAGTCAAACAAATTTGAAAAGCTTTATACGAATTTATTCATGAGCATGTCTTTCTTTCTAAAGGATGCCATCCTATGTTTATTTAGACAGAAAAAAGTCCTGCAGCTCTGAACATGCCTCACCTTGCATGAATGCCTTGAAGTTGTAGAACATTTAGCTGTGTTTCACCTCTATTTACTTCTCAGAATAAGTTACGACATTTTTACTCATTTGAATTAAAGAACAACAAACAAACCAATCTGCTTGTAAAGAAACACAGCTTTTTTGTACCTTTTTTGTCTTTTCCTTGCATTTCTATGTTACTTTAAAGATAAAAGGCTCAGAAAATAATGAAAAATTGCAGCATGTCAGCAGAAAAACTTTACTAGGAACAAATCAAGCTAATCAAATATAGAAATTCATTCTAACATTTTATTTGCTGCTTTATGGAAATATTAGCTTGAAGGGGAGATATGAAAGACCAATAACAATATTAGATAAGCATTTGTAACGTAGTTTATTATGCAGGCTGACTCAAGAGTCCCACAAGATATTTGTCATATTTTTTCCATCCCGGGGCTAGTTTCAGTTTCAGGAAAACTTCTGAGAGCCGCATGCTAGTGGTGGATGGGACTAAGGAAAAGGGGCTAGAGACCAAAGTATCAATAACAACAACAGAAATCACAAAAATGCTAGCACGTTGTAGCTTAAAACCTTTACTGCCGCCAACCACCCCTTAGGGTTGGGGTTCATGATTTCAGAAGAGGAGAAAGCCGACAAAAGTCAGGAAAGGAGAGTGCTTGGGGGAAGGAGTAAAGCATCTTCTGCACCCGAGGATGCTTTGGCCAGGATTTGATCCCAGGACCTGCTGTTTCTTTATCCTGCTCTAGGGAGTCCTGTTTTGCTCCTGTTTGAAGAAAAATGTATATTTCCAAGAGGAAATAGAAGTTTGTGGTGGGAATTCTATGGAGGGGGGAAAAACCCCATTCACTGGTCCAATCTTCACAGTCAAGTACTGAGCATTATTCTTAGAATACATTTTAACACTCAGTTAACCCACATTTGTTAACACTTTTGACAAGCTGTAAGGGTGTTTTACCTCCCTTCTCCCAATACAATTGATCCTAAGCACTTTAACCAGAAAAAATACTCCTGAGCACAAGGTGGTTAACTACTTGATAATAATTCAACCTGGTTCTGTATTTCAGAAGATTTGACCTGCTTTGCTTGTCTAATTTTGAACACCCAATAAGAGATTAAATAATTACTCCTTCCTTTAAATGCTCATTGGATAAGTTGTCTTCAATACTACTCATTCCTCTCTAAATTCTACCCCCCCCCAAAAAAAACCTTCTCAAAGCACACAAAAAGTCATCAGAGTTTTAAGTGAATTGTCCCCATGTAGCAAACCATCTATGAGATGGGACATTAAAGCTCAGATGAGAGATGTGGCAAAGTTCAATATTCTCAAAGTTCTCCAGTGCCAGAGCTCAGGTTGTCAGACTCCTCCATGTGAGAACTTTTTTAACAAGAAAAGTGCACCTTTCAGTGCTCATTGTGGACCTATTTTTCTAATATGATCATAAGTCCAGGGAATGTGCAAACTTTCCAAAATAATCTTGTTTTTGTTACAAATGGAGTACACCTGAGTAGAAATCTAATTAAAACAGAATTCTCTGGCTTCCGAAATTGAAAAGCTTCATGGGACAACTCCAGTGGCCTAGGAACCATCTCTCTGGCATGCAGGTGGATTCCCAAGTACAGGCAGACATCCCAAGGCACAACTGACTCTCGCTGGGGGCTCACCTGGGCACGTGGACCTTCTGGGTCTCGGCAGCTGGCAAAGATTCATTCTGGCCCATTGCTTTTCTCCGCCAGCTGCCTGACCAGCTCCAAGCCGATGCCCCGGTTGGACCCAGTCACCAGGACACTGCACACGTTCATCATCGCCATCTCTCTTTCCAGCCAGTGCCTGACTGGGAAAGCCTTTTGAGAATCCAGCCTCAGTGATATCAACCTGCGGTGCCTGCCCCAAGCTGACATCAGATGTTTCATTTTTGTTTCCACATGGTGTTGCCCCGAGTCAAACAACTGCCTCCAATGGAAGAGAAAGGAAGAGGAGCCAGCATTCGATGTAGGCCCCGCACAAGAAGCTGGAGAAAGATGACTCAGTGCCTTATTGGGGAGGGAATTTGATGGACTGAAGAAAGCAGGAACCGAGAATCTCTCACCTGCCTGTGCTGAACAAGCAAGCCCCTATGGTGATCCCAGTCTACTGAAATTTAGCAATTTTAGCATTTTCTGAAGGATTATGGAAAGTACTTGGCTCTTTTGTCAGCTCCAGTTCTGCATGTCTGTCCAGTGCTGGATGGATCACAGCAACCCAGCAGGTAGGCAGATTTACTGAGGGCTGCATATAAGAGGAGTCTGAAGGACTCTGATTTCTCATTCTTGGGGATACACCCTTGGTCTTAATGTCATTCTAGTTAATGAGCATAATCCTTGACTTCTAATCACTCTGAAATTGCTGTCTGATTGAAGAACTGCCAACAACAGTACCCAGGATATTTAATTATCTGCCCCCAGTAATTATTTTATTTGCCAGCTATTGAGAATTTTCAGAGTGCAGATATAAAGCGAGAAAGTAGAAAATTAAATTTAGAGCTACTAAAATCTTGCTGATTGTAGTAATAGTGCTTGTGGTTTTTCAGTTGTTCAGTCTAAGAAATTTAAATATACATATTGCTTGTTTTATAGTCCTTGAAGAAGGCCATCAGGGCCAAAATGTGCTGGGTTTTTTTAATAATAAGCTAATATTTTCCAGCATCCTCAGAGGTGATCTCTCTCTGCAGAGCAGGCTGTATGTCCAGCGCCATTTTCGCCATCTAGCTGTGGGCCCTCAGAAGGGGAGGAGAGTGCATTGCCCCATATCTCACACCCTGGAGCACCAGCTTCCCCCCCCCCCCACACACACACACACACACACACACCGTTGCTGCCTCTGCAAGCTCTGTTTCTGACCTCAATTCGGGGAGCTATTGCCAGGTGGGAACTGAAGGCCCCCTTTTCAGCTAAACATGCAGAAGATTGCATCTTTAACCTCTTGGCAGTCATTTCTCTGCAGGGTATGCTAAGTCACATGGTGGGAAAGGAAACAGAAAAACTGGTTTTCCAAACTTCTCCCCAACTTTAAGGTTTGCAGCAGATTCCAGGGCTCCTACCCATCCTAGTAAGTGATTTACCACTGAAGCGTCTGGAAAGCAAGAGATGGCACAAGCCACCGCTAGGCAGGTGCCTGTGTTAGACCTCTGCCTTGCTTATCAGCTTCAGAGTAAAGTTGTTACCATTTTGTTTGCTAAAGAAGCCTTCACCTTTGCTCACGCCTAACCAGTCACCCAGCGGTACTTTTTTGAATTCTGTACTCCAGTGTGCAAGGACTCATCTATCCTAGGAATGCTCATATGTGATTTGCAAACCCCATAGCTACATGATGACCCATATTCCCTTTACATTCCTGCAGATCTGTACATTCCTGGTGTTGAGCATCTACAGTCCAACACTGCTCCGTGCAGCTGAAGTTGCACTGAGAGACGTTGCGCAGGGGTGTCCCATCCTCTCCCCTCTCCCCATTTTTCTTTCTCTGGGGAGCATAGGTTGTCGGGTGCTGACCCCTGAAGGTGCACTTGTAGGAAGCAGTGCTCCCCGCTCACTGGCCAAGAAAATGCCGGGTGGGGAAGCAGCATGACCCAAAGATGCATGGAGGGCGTGAGTGCCGAAGCGCCCGGTGCCCTCCCCTCCCCTCCCCTCCCCTCCCCTCCCATCCCTCCTTTGGGAAACCTGGTATCTGCCTGAGAACTCACTCCTGCCCATTCACCTGCCACTCATCCATCCACTCATCCATCCACTCAGTCCTTGGCCCACTTGCTCACTCACTCCTTGCCAGCAAGAGCTCTCGGCTGATTAAGCTTGGCTACTTGCATGTCCCATCACAGCAGGGGAACCCAGCAGCAAGGAACCACTTCCGCAGGACGCTCGTGCCTGGCCCCAGGCTACCCAGTGATGAATTGTGGGTCAAGGGCAGCAAATCTCTCTGGACTGCCCACCAGCCAACAACCCCCCCCCCCGTGAGGTTGAAAGAGGCGTTAATGAGGGAGATTGCCCAGATGCACCTCAGCACACAGAAGAGCCCTGGGAAGGAAGGAGGAGCTGCGGGTTTTCAGTGGAAATGGGTGCCTTTATTGAAGACCACAGCAAGGCTAGTCAGGAACCTGGATTGCCTGTGGAGAGAGGTTCCTGCTGCAGAGCAGGCGGGTGGGAAGCTGGGGGTCTCACCAGGGAATGGCTTTCCCCTCCCAGTTCATAAACATGCCACTGTCTTTCTCAGAGAGCCGAGAAAGCGTGTTCAGGATGTCTTGCACGCAGCTCTGCACCGTCTGTGGGGCTGATCCCTGGAAACCGAGAATGACAAGTGAGGCAAGAACTAAGTGCAGGAAAAAATGCACTCCCTTCAACAAAAGCGAGCAGAAGAATAATCCTGGCAACTGCTCTGCAGTGGGGCTGCTGTGCAGGATTCAGCCGGAGATTCACCTAGCCTGGCATTGTTTGCACAGGAGCCAACCAGATTTCCCCCAGAGAGCCCACACGCAGGAAATGGGCAGTGGCTGCCTCCTGCGCTTGTTCCCTGGGAACTGGCATGCAGCCTGTTTGCAGTGACGTAATGCTCAGTCTTCACAGAGTGATATAATCCCACTTTAAGGGCTTTCAAGTCAGAGTCATGAAATCAGTGGCAGCTTTTTTCAAAATGTAACCATTCAGCTGCATTCGTGACCCTATGAGAGGGGAAGGGAAAGTAACTCCCCATATACCTTCCCCTGACTGGCACACCTTTGCACACCTTTGGTGTGCCTTCTCCTATTCATCTTTTTTCTAAGCTAAGCTGCCCAAGATGTTATATGTTTTCTGCATCACAAAATTGCTCTAGTCCCTTGATCATTTGAGTTGATTTATCCTTTCTGACACACAGTGACCACGGGTCTAGTGGAAGGGGCCCTTGGGGGGTCAGAACACTCCCACTTATTTTGGAGGAAGCCCTCAGGAGGGGTCACTGGATCCCTGAAGCTGGAGCCACAGTCCCTCCCCACCGCCTCGCAAGAGACTTAATTCCGCTGCTTCGGGGCTGGCTGTGCTGGAGTCCTGAACTGACGCGTCCAGAACAGGGGTGCTTTGTCGAGAGTTCCCAGCAGTTCCAGGGAACTCCCTACCTGGAGAGGCCCGCCAGGCATACGCACGTGTCTCCTGAGACCCTTCCCTTCACGGTCAGCCTCTGCTCCTCAGCAAAGTGTGGCCGGCTTGCCCTTGCCGCCCCCCTGCACCCACACAGGGCATTTAGAGCACTTTTATCCCACTTCCAACAGCCATTCCTTCCCCAAGGGATCCTGGGGACCGTCGTTTGTACGGAGTGCCATCGGTGGACTCCTATTCCTCACACAGCTGTACAGTTTCCAGAGTTCCTGGGGAAGAGGATGGACTGACAAACCATTCTGGGAATTGCAGCTCTGTGAGGTGAACAGGGGTTTTCTAGCAACTCTTGGCCCCAGAATTAATGGGGACTGTAGCAATCATGACTAAAGTGGAAGAAAAGTATCGTAACTGGAGTATATTCCCTGGAATCAATGAGAAAATTAGCCATGATTCTGATAGACTTAAGTTCCTCTTACTTCAGTTAGGCTATTTTATGCATGGGTCAGTGTGAATACAATGAGAGCCCAATAAAAGCTCAATGCATATTTGGAGAAACTGGAACCCCTAAACTATGGACTCTGCAATCGTGGAGGGTCTCCCACACAAATGCACACACGAAGTCACTGTCTGCAGAGGCCACAGAAAATTAAAAGCAACCAAACAGTGGCTGCCAGTCCAGACTGCTGCTCTTGGGAGAACAAAACTAGGTATGTTTCTGTAAGTGTGGGTAACGAGTCTCCTTTTTTCCAGGCTGAAGTGAAGTGAGTCCCAGGCTGCAACTGATGCAGCATGTTGCTGATTGCATAACTGAGGGATAACAAGTGAATGAAGACTTTCTCTTGGCCTAAGCCCAGCACAAGAGAAAGTCCACAGATGCTAAAGGGATGGATTCCAAGAGATTCCCAACCATACAGTAACCTCTCAGATGTTGAACTACTGTGCCCATAATCCCAGGCTAGTGGTCATGTTGGTGACCTGGTGGAAGCTGAAGCACAACAACATCTGGAGGCGCGCACATTCTCCAGGTCTTTATTAAAACCCGGGGTTATCCAACAACCCAGCCATTATGAAATTTACATCGACAGAGACCTCGTCAGCTTTCTAAGTGCATAACCTCATGGACCTGAGGAGTACACCTTTTAAAAACAAATAGCAGGGCATATTCAGGACCTACACATGGTATGGTGCTTCTGAACTTACCCTGAATATTTGTCTGGCCAGAGGTAGGGATCCTGCCAGAATTTAGCACAGAGATGCAATTAAAAATGGGAATGTGCACACCTAATTCTGGTGAATGGGCAGTCAGCATTTTAGACTAAATTTAGTTGAGGAATCAGACCAATGGTGTCTAGAGTAGGGGTATTTTAGAGGTAGGGGTACTTCACAGGTATTGAGTGGGGTATTTACTTCACAGGTATTGAGTGGGGTACTTTAGAGTTATTGATTGATAATTAATGCACAATCTGCTTTGACTCTTGCTTCAAAAGAAATGAATTTTACATGAATTTACATGAATTTTATCAGTCTGTGTGTAGGCTGAGATTCTATCACTAATCACCTACCACGGAATTGCCCATGTCGGTTTGCACCCATCCTGGATGCAATGCGATGCACAGGATCTTGTCTTCGGCAAGCCCGAGGCCCTGGCACCGTGTCAGCATGTTCAGAGCTGCCTGGAAGGAGACCATGCCAGAAGCAAAGAGGTGGATGATAAGACTCAGATTGACAGGATGGGCAGCAGGGAGGAGGGACTGCTCTGTAGCACCAAGCGATGCTACTGGATGCGCACTTGACAGACAGCTCGTTTGACTTTCCACAAACGTTGGGCAAAGCAGGAAATGGCAATCTTGCCCTTCCACAAGCTGCAGTCAGTAAAGTGTTTGCAGCACCTGAGACAGAAGGTTTTGCCAGCACCTCTCGCTTTCTTAAAAATCACCATCACCATGTTTCCAATAAAGGATCCTTTGCAGCTGTGACATGACACCCAAGGCCCCCTGCTGCAAGCAGCCACTGCACGTTCCAGGTGAAGACAATGCTGAACTTGGAGCACCTCGCGGGGCACCTTCCAGCAGCACAAGCCGCATCACCCACCTCCACTTTCTGAAACCTCTCTGCCAGGAATAACAACCTGTATCCCCACTGCCTTCACCCCAAAGGATGGTCTGGAAACATGCGATGTGATGGTATCGAAAGCTGCCAAGAGCCACGCTGCAGGTGGGCAGAAGCCAGTCAGGGCAGCCAGAACAAGCCCTGTCACCACGTGGAGCTTGAAACCGGACGTCAGCATATCCAAATGGTCAGGTTATTCAAGGTGTCCAGCAGCTGCCTATTGAGTGCCTTGTCCAAAGACAGCAGTGCTGGATCCTTTTTCTTTCTTTATCCCCCCTTTTTAAAGAGAGGTCTGGCCAGTGCCTTCTTCAAGACAGGGGGAACATGCTCCTTCTGATAAAAATGCTTTGGCCACTGAACTGACCACATTTTTTAATGGATCCTGTTTACTAAGCTGGACATGGTGCAGGTTCCTTTTTTAAAAAGAACCTTGTCAGCATCATTAGGTGAATCTCCCAACTCAGCTTTTTAACTGAACCAAACCTTCAGTTTTGAGCCACTGGTGCATCTGTACCTTGCTGCAACGGTAAGCGATGACTGGTGCAGATTCCCATAACAAGAGATTAGTGATGGAGCCGCCTTCACTGGACATATTGATGATGGCCGCTTTGCTGCAGCTCATCCCTTTCTGGGGGCTTCCCTGAGCTGCCTTCCTCAGCAAGGGCAGGAACACCTGGAGAAGGAGAGGAGAGAGGCGACATCCTACAGTCCATGTGATTTTTCAGATCTTCCCCCTACAAGGCTGTGACAAGGTCTTCAGACAGTAAAGGCTCTTTCCCATGAGACGTTCCCATGAAGACAATGCCACAAGTGGGCTTACCTGGCTCACCATCAAGGGCCCAATCACGTTGGTGTTGTATAGCTCAGACATAACCTCTGGTGTTGTGGACTCCAGATCACCAGGCTTTACAATGCCAGCATTGTTTATCAGCAGGTTCAGCCCAGCTCCCTTCAGCCGCTCAGTGACTTTGGCTGCAGCCGCCCTGATACTGGATGGTTCAGAAGCGTCTACAGCAACAAAGAGAAAGTTTTTGTGTTTGTGGTTGGTGTGAGCCAGGATGCCCAGTTTTCTCACTGCACCACCTTGTGGCATGCACAGTGCTTGCTTTGGAAGTTCAGAGACATCAGGAAGAGCTACATTTTGATGCAGGAACAATGACTGAGCAGACAATGCAATATCCCAAAAAGTTTGGGTTGAGAGTGGGTTCTTGTTCAGCTATGGTTGCATTGTGACTTAATGGGCGGGTTTACACAGCACAACAAGCCATGGTGGTTTCTTAAGCAGGATGGTCTGTCATGTCATCTGAACCCTGCTGGAATATTTCATAATCTATCTTGACTTTAGCAAAGCTTTCAACATAATGCCCCATTTCATCTTGATAAGTAAATTAGCAGAAAGTGAACTAGATAGAAAACGGTGGATCCAAAATTGGCTGCTAAATCAAACACAAAGAGTGCTCATTAATGGCACCTTCTCAAACTGGAGGGAGGTAACTCGTGGTGTGCCACAGGGTCCAGTCCTGGAGCCAGTGCTCTTCAACATCTTTATTCATGATTTGGGTGGGGAAGTACAAGGAACAATAATCAGGTTTGCAGATGATACAAAGCTGGGTGCAATAGCAAACACCCAAGAAGACAGAATGAAAATCCAGGGCGATCTTGATAAACTTGAACACTGGGCTGAAAGCAACAGAATGAGATTAAGTAAGGACAAGTGCCAAGACCTCCACCTAGGAAAAAGAAAACCAAATGCATCGATAGAAGATGAAGAATATGTGGCTCAACAGAACTGAACAAGAAAAAGATATTGGAGTAATTGTGGACAATAGGCTAAACATGAGCCAACAATGCAATGCAGCTGCCAAAAGGGCAAGTGTTATTTTGGGATGCATTAGCAGAAGTATTACTTCCAAATCACGAGAAGTAGTAGTTCCTCTATACTCCTCACTAGTCAGACCTCACCTGGAATACTGTGTCCAGTTCTCGGCACCAAGATTTTTTGGAAATACTGCCCTATGAGGAGAGACTGAAAGAACTGGGCATGTTCATCCTTGAGAAGAGAAGACTGAGGGGGGACATGATATTCCTCTCTAAGCACCTCAAAGGCTGTCACAAAGAGGAAGGTCAAGATCTCTTCTTGCTGATGCCAGATTGTAGGACATGGAAGAATCAACTCAAGTTGGAACAACCCAAACTTCTGGTTAGACATCAGGAAAAGCTTCCTCACTGTCAGAGCAATACAACAGTGGGACCAGCTGCCTAAAGAGGCGGTGGGCTTTCCCACACTGGAGACATTCAAAAAGAACCTGGACAGCCATCTGAGTGGGATGGTGTAATGTGGAGTCCTGCAACAGCACGGGGTTGGACCTGATGGCCTTCATGGCCCCTTCCAACTCTACTATTCTATGATTCTATGAAATGCAGGAAGTATTTCCATTGAAATGTGCTGTCTTTAGGAGCGTTATGAAAAGTGGGCTGCTTCATCTGTGAACACCCTTCCTGGTGTTCCTCTAAGCACGTATTCTTCTTGTTTCTAACAGAAGAATTCATCCAGAGTGCATAGCTGCTGGCACTCATCACATGAGTTCACTATTTGAGGGGATAATCAGCACACCTGCTTGCGCATGATGCATATGAATTGCTTGAACATAAAAGATTATATCGCATGTAACATGGCTGGTTCATTTTAGGGACTGCCTGAATGAACGTTGCTGGCTCTGTGCTACCTCCATTGTTGGAGGGGATATGCCTGCACACACCAGTTGCTGAGGCGCTTGGGCAGGCAGAACTCTTCTACCAGCCCTGCTGGAGGGATCCTGTGGGCAGCTGGTTTGCCAAACCAGGGCTCATTTAATCTGCACAGAAGGAACTTTGTGAAATGCCTTGGATTTCAGCTCGTATCTCTGCATGAGGCAGTTTGGGTGGCCTGGAACGTACCTAGTTGGATGATCTCCACCTGCTTGTGCACAGCAGCCAAATTCTTCAGTTCCTGAAAGATACCAAAGCTGGAGACTTACGATGCTATAAAAAGTCCTGGAGAAATGGGATAACGAGATTACATAGGGAGGAAGGCCAGACAGGAGGAAGTTAAGCTCCACTTAACAAGGTCATCATTATGGGTCTACAAAGTATCCTACAAAAAATGTGTGAGCTTGGCCACTAGTTTTCCAAAGAGCCCTGTTTTGAGTGGGGAATCCTAGAAAGTGGACAATGTCATACATATTTTAACTAGAGATGTATGAGAAGTTAATTTTAGCTTGCAAACCATGTAAGCACACGCTGCCTGAAGTCCAGGTTATGTCTGCCAAATTTGCGCCAGCCAAAAACATTTGCAAATTTCTGGACATGTTATGTTTAATGTGCACACCTTTCCCAGTACAATTTTGTGTTGATTTACTAATTTGTGCAAATACCTCTTTAGATGAATCATCCCTGCTTAAGTGTACACAGGTAAGTTGCACAAAGTTCACATTTGTTTGCCGTTCAGTTTGTGAAATTTTCCCATTTGCACAGAAAAAGCAACAATCAAAAACAAAGGCAAGAACCAGTAGCAAGATAAGAAGCAACATGATATCTGGCAAATCGTAGCAACCTCAAACATCACCCATCCCTGATTTCAGTGAGGAAATACAGGCCTGTGGGCGAATTCTGGGAGTATGCTGCTCACCCATTTGCTGCCCCAAGCACATGGTCCATTAAACAAATGAAAAGCTGAGCCTTACTTCTGCAAATACATTCTGTTGCGCACTTACCACACATTTTTATCACTTCTGACAAGCTGTAAGGGTGTGTCATTTTCATTCTCGCAGTATACTTGGATAAGAACAGACATTTCAAAACTAAGCACTTTAACACAGAAGGAAGGCTCACTGAGCACAGTGTGATTAATTGTGTGAACATATTTGGTGTTGTATTGCAGAAAATTCCATTTGGGTTAGTTTCCAACACCAAGATAACCATTTCAGTGGCTCCTGAGATCAGTGCCATTGCTAGTCCCTCCTCCCCAGTTCTGCAAGGAGAAGAGCTGGCGCCAGAAAGGGCAACCAATGCAGTCATTCTCCAGGGAACCAATCCTGCTGCAGGAATGGGAAGGAGAAGTTTAAAAGCCTTATGAAACAATCCTGTAACCTGGGCAGGGCACGGGGGAGGGCTCCCAAGTGCAAGCGACCATTCCAAATTACAGTTTATTCTGACCACAACTCACCTGCGCACGTGGTCCTTCTGGGTCGCGGCAGGTAGCAAAGATCTGGTGGCTTTTCCCTACCAATTGCTTGACCAGCTCCAAGCCGATGCCTCGGTTGGCACCGGTCACCAAGACACTCTGCAGATTCAGCATTGCCATTCTTCTAGCCAGCCTATGCCAAGTTGGCGCGCTTGCAGTGAATGCCAGGCTATATCTGGCCCCAGGAACCTCCGCCCATATTACATAACACACTTGATTCATACTGTGTGGTTGTGTGCAAAAGAACTGCCTCAAAGCAACAAAAGGGAAGGTAATTTGGCATTTGACATGCGGTCAAACGGGGCTGAAGGAGGGTGGCTTGTTGTTTTGTAGGAGAAGGAATTTGGCAGCCTGAAGAAGCTCTGACCTGCTCATGCTTGCCCCAAGAGAAGATTAGACTCATTGGCCCCGAACTGCTTGGCGGTGGCAGCAGCTGAACCCAGCTTGCCTTGGCAGCTATCAAGGAGAGGAGCCTCATGCCTCCCCATGCCGTCTCCTGCAATATCACCTGGAGGATGGCGGGGGGAGGAGATGGTGGGAGAGAGGAGGGTTGCCACCATGAGCCTTGTCATCTGCCAGACTCATGGAGGTAAAAAACCATTAACCATGGTAACCCTTGTCATGAAGTACAAATCCAGACAGAAAGTTGGCAATGTCCCAGAATAATACAAAAGCATCTTTCAGTGTGTACTTAAGTGAAAATCATCAACCTTGCTTTCCAGAATCAAAAGATAATGGAGATGGGAGTGATTTCCATGGCTAAACTGCCCCAGAGCTCTCTTCCATGGAAGAAAAGTCAGATACGAGCACAAATTTCTCCTTTTACAATAAGTACCACCCAGAAAGCACACATCAGTGTGCTTGCTCCTGCCATGCACATGCACACTCGCTCTCTCTCTCTCTCTCTGGGAAACCAGAGACTGTCTGAAGAGGATTAGCAAGGGAACATGGCTGTGCCAGATCCAAGGGTGAGACTTTACATAAGCAAGAACAAAGAATAGCATGTTCTAAGCAATTGGCTCTGCAAAACAACTGCCATAAAGGCTTAGTTTTGAAATATAGTTTACTGGCAAGGGTGTATTAGTTACCTGGTGACAGTGGTTGGAAAGACGCCAAGGTGGAACTGATCAGCGATTCAGCACTGGGATTCTGCTACATCTTGCCAGGCTGTTAGTACCATCAGCAGCATGGGCCTGACTGACCGCACCAATCCTCTATTATTCTGCCACTGTCAGGAAATCAGAAACCATGGACCATGGTAAAGAGATGAAGGAAATTTAGAATTTGGTGTATGTCTGGACAAAATGGGAGAAAGTTCTGCCATAATATGGCTGCCACAAGAACAGCTTTAGGCTTGTTAAGGGGAGGACCCTGATCTGATCAGGAAACTGTGGTACAAGTCTTGCTCCCCAGGTATTCTGTACATTTGCTAGTGTGTGCCTGTCCTAAAACATCTTTCCTTTTGTTTGCCTTAATATATGCCACCCTGTTGTTTTTGCTTTCATGTGTCTCTGCCAAACCACCTACTTGATCCCCCTCCCTCCAGCAAACTGTGTACGTGACTAAAAGCACCCTTTCAGGCTCCATCTTGGTAGTCCCTTCAGGGGCTACCCCCATGCTGCATGGATCTCCTGTGCGTCCGAGTAAACTGCAAATACTCTTTTCATTGTATGCCCCCAACATCCCTCCCTGTGGTCCCTGTTTCTCAACACATGGAAATTTATTTCAACACTGTTTTAATCTAATACTTAAAAGAAAACCTCCCCTTGAAGGAGGAAGCAAAAGCCCCAATATCTTGGGTGCCTTCCTCGTTTGTGGAGGGCTACTGAGAGAGATGGGGGTGCAGGGAAGAGAGGACTGTTGGAGTGCTAATTTTGCTGCTGGGATGATCTGAATGGGAAAAGAGAGGCTCTGGGGGTCTGCTAGGGCAGAGGCAGAGGGTTTGTAAGAAGGCAGATGGGATGTTTTGAAAGAGCAAACACAAGCTCCAAAGCCAAGGACTGCTGCAGCTCTGGGGAGAGATGACAGAATATCAGAGGTGCAAAGAGGAGGCAGCCTGGCAGGATTTCAAGGAACAGTCTTAGAACAGGGCCAGTTGGAAAGGGATTACCAAAACCCTCTAGAGGAAGGGGCCAGTGTTGTGGCTATGAATTGCTACGGGAAGGAAGAAAACAGAAGGGTGATGGTGAGGGGATAGAGAGCAAATGAGCCACAGGAAAGGATTCTACTCTGGGTTGTGCAAGTGTTGGGCCAGCAGTGGAGTATTAGGGGGAAAGAGCAAAAGAGCAGAGATATACAGGAACCAGTCCAAATATTTACCTGTGCTTATCTGCTGGCTTCAGAGTACTGGCTGCTTTGGTGAGCTTTTCAGGACTGGGAAAGGGAGAAGGGGAGAAAAGGAGGGTGGTATGCTCATTTAAGCAGAAAATGTGAGTAAAGACTCCTTGAACTGGTATGTTGGAGTAATCCTTTCCCCCTCCCCTCAGGGAGAAAATTATCTTTAAAGAAAAATAAATCAAACCCAAACAAAACCAAGTTCTTGCTTCAGGAGAGTTAATTGGATTTGGAAATTCGATAGTCAGGTGTAAGCAAGGTGGTGAATAGTAAGAAGGTGACAAAGAAGAAAAAGCCTTTTCTTGTTTCTTCCTGGTGTGCTGGGCAGGCAAGGAAGCTGATGCCGCATTAATAGGCATGGCCGTATCCCGGGGCAGATTTTCAACTTTTCACAGGTCCATGTGAGCAATAAGTGAGAAGCTTTATTGGTGATTGATAACTTTAAATGGAGTGAAATAAAGTTAAAGCTTAAATAAAATAAGAGTTGCTTACAATTTTCCTTCCATATGGCTGAAAGAGGAAAGCTAATAATTCCAACATCGTGTGTCAGATACTTAGGGTATGTAGTTGCTTGTCTGGGACAAGATCTGCAATTGGCAAGTGTTTACAGGGGCTGTGTTCAGACAACACAGGAAACCACATTCAAGGGTTAAATATGGGTTACCAGGCGTTGAACTGTGGGTAGTTGTTGAAACATGGGCTACTGTTGTTTGAGCCCAGCAGTGATCACTTGTCCTAGGGAATAATCCATAGTTCATAATCAGCAATAAATCCTGGGTTCTTTTCTTGGGTTGCTTAACAAGCCATGGCTTCTTACACTACATGGGTTGAGACAACATGATAACTCATGTTCCAACAACAACCTACAGTTCAGTCACAACCCACACACCGCCCTTAGGTCTGGGTTCTCCGAACCAAGCCAGGGAAGGAAAGAAGTCACCCAAAGATAAGAGACTCATCAGAAGGACCATCAGTAAGAGGTTACCTACACAGATCTTCCCGGGATGCACATGGCTTGGGTTCATAATATTCCAAGACCAGAATCTCTTTTCCCAAAAGCAACACTTGGAGACAACTGGTAACAATTCCCCCATTGTCGATGCCATAGACATCACTCCCAACACTTCAATATCTTTACAGTGTCTGCAATCCGTATCTCCATTTCATGGATTTCACCCACTTAATGCTTCATCCAGTGGGCCTAAGCTGCCGGGTGACAATTTAGGAAAGATATTTGTCCACACCAGTTGTAAATAACCCTTTTTCTACTTCTAATGTAATCCCAGAAGACAGTTAGGCTGCGACTTTGTATTTTCGGCAGGGAACACAGGGACTCAATGTCATGTCATAATCTTTCACCATGTCGCCCAGCCTTGCCAAACCTGGTGCTGTCCACATGCTTTGAGCAGCTGTTTGGCCACAGACGGGACTTTGACCCGGCCCAGCAGGGCTTTTCTTATGTAACAACGAACATAAAAGATGAGCACAGTTACATAAGGCAACTGGGAGATTTGATAGCATGCTCAGCGGCTGGAAAGAAGGCGGAAGTTTCTCAGAGAAGACAAAAGAGCTTGTTTGTTTGTTCATTTATTGAAGGCAAGGTGTAGCTTGTCAGATGCTTGAATCACAGTTGGCCGAGGGTTCCGCCTACAGCACACAAAAGCTGGCCTTTGGGTGTTTCACCAAGGAACGTTTTCCCCTTCCCAGGTCACAAAAGTGCCGCTGTCTTTCTCGGAGAGACGAGCGAGGGTGTGCAAGAGCCCCCGTGCGCTGAGCTCTGCTGTCACTGGGGGCTCTCCCTGGAAGAGAATTGCTGAGTGATGCAAAGACTTCCACGGGATAGAGCAGGAGCAACGCTGCTCAGTTAAGATCAACGGAGGGGGCACACCTCATACTGAGAAGCCTGCTCAAACGCTGTTATGTATTAAATCGCGCTCTGACCCGGGCAATGGAGAGTGGCCAGCTTAGCCAACGCTGGAGAGCGACAGGCTGAGAGTGGCCAAAACAATCCAGAAAATTGCAAGCAGCAAGCCTAATATTTATTAAGTGTGAGGTATTCAAAAGCTTAAACGAGTCTTGCTGAAGAACAGTGTGCTTGGCTTCTACAGAGGGAAGCCCCCCCGTTAATCTTCACAGTGTTAGCAGAGATATCAAGGAGTGTCAACAGGTATGAATATAAAGGGGATCTGATGGGCACCCCCCTTGAAAGGAACTACGTTGTAAGATGGCATCGTTCCAGGGATGAGTCAGAGAGATTTTTTTCCAGGAAGCGCTCGCTGAGTTGATCTCAGTGGCAGAAACAACATAGAAAGAAAAAAATTCCAATGGCACTGAAGACGGGAAGGAATCCTGGTGGCCATGGGGTGCCATGAACTGTTTTCTCTGTGTGCCGTAGCTGAGAAAAGATGCATTCCAGCATTGCTAGGGAAAATGGGGCACAGAGGAAAAATAAAGCTGCCAGCTTTATAATATCCTTGTATAGTTTTTTTGGTGCAGCTGATTTTGAATTCTGTGTGATGACTGACAAGTTAGGCAACTTTAAAAGGGATCAGAGAAATACAGAGGGTAATACTATCAGTGGCTACTAACCACAACAGCTTCATTTTATTTATTTATTAGATTTCTATCCTTCCTTCTCTCTTCTTTGTTTAAGAACTCAAAGCATTTTTCAATCATTCTCCTCCTGCTACTCTCAATCTTACCCCACAACAACAACCCTGTGAGGTAGGTTGGGCTGAGAGTCTGTGACTGGCCCAAAGTCACCCAGTTGGCTCCTTGGCTGGGTGGGAACTAGAACCCAGATCGCTCAGATCCCAGTCCAACAGATTCCACTTACCAACCCCTATGCTACAGTGGCTGCTTGCATAATTTTTTTAAAACAGATATGGTCCATTTATGAGGGTATGTCTGTTGACTATTATCAACCACAGGACTAAGGATGGATCCTGCATGTCCGGGGCAATATACCTCTGGGAACAAAACAGCACATAACAATCACAACCTTCCTGTACTGCTTCCAAATTCCTGAATCATCTGTCTGGCCAGAATTCAGCAGAGAGTTTATATTAAAAATGGGCAAAGACACAACGAATGCCCTGTTGCTTTTTAAACTAGAGAGGCTATCTCAAAATATGTTGAGGGTTTATTAATTTAGATGGGAGCCTAAGTCGTTAAATATATCAGATGGACTCTACAAGTCACTTACCAAAGTGTTCCCCATGTCTGTCTGAACCCACCCAGGGTGCAACGCCACGCACAGAATGTTGTCTTGGGCAAATGCCAGGGACTGGCACCGTGTGAGCATGTTCAGAGCAGCCTGTGGGAGAAACAGATTGGAGGAAGTGAGGGGGCTGTGCTGTACCTCTCAATGCCGTAAGATTGCAGCAGGTTTTGACAATCAGGGTGTTGTGGGTTCAAGAGGCATCAGTTAATACTTGCCTTCCAGATTATTGTCAGTGAAAACAACACGTGGCCTTGAAAAAAGGTGGTCATTCAGAAATTAGAGCTTGACTCTAATTCATACTTCAGAAGTGCCACGCTTCACCATTTCAAGTGTTAACAAACAAAAAATCTGTGGGAGCCCTGAACAAGGCCTCTCTGGCAAATCTCAAAATGCATTTCCCCTCCATCAGCAGCACTTTCCAGAACGTCCCTCCAGGAACAACCAAAGCCGACAGAATGGCCACGACGGTGTGGCAAAGACACAGGCCACGCCATCTCCAGAGGCAGCGAGCCCCCAGGGGGCCTGGCTGCTGACTGAAGCATGCGTGGATGCCGTGTGTGAGCTGCCCTGGCATCGCCCTTTGTGCTTGACGCATCGCTCCCCAGTTGCGCCGAGCAAGGAGGACCAAGTGAGCTGCGCATGCGATATCACTGGCGGAGTGCTCACCTGCCCCCACCCCCCGGGCTCCCGGCTGCTCCCCAGCTCCCGTCTTTGTCCCTGGCATTCCTTGGAAAGATGTGGCTCAAGCAGAGATGGCAGTCTCATTCTGGCTCTGGCGTTAATGCTTTCCATCCCACTCTGGGAAGCCTCGATGGCAGCCGCAAGACAGGATAATTGGGCTCGGTCAGGAAAGACCCCTTTCCCCTTGAACCTCAGCAGTTTTATTGAAAGATCCCCCAGGACCCCTGCAGTTACTTATGAGAACAACAGCTTGCTACCGGGTGGTGGTTCTCACCCCCAACTACAAGCTTTTAGAGCATAAACAGAGCTGCATTGAGGGAAACCTCACCTCCAACCATGCCAAGTACTAGTCCCCCTGTATTCAACGCTAGTCAGAACTCCTCTGGAGTCCTGTGACCAGTTCTGGGCACCACAGTTTAAGAAAGATGCAGACCAGCTGGAAAAGATTCAGAGAAGGGAAACAAGGATGAACCAGGGACTGGAAACAGAGCCCTGTGAGGAGAGATTGAGAAAACTGGGCATGTTCAGCTTCCAGAAGAGAAGGCCGAGGGGAAATATGATAGCACTCTACAAGCACCTGAAAGTCTCTCACAAAGAGGAGGGCAGGATCTCTTCTTGTTAATTCTAGAGCAAGGACATGAAATAACAGATTCAAGTTACAGGAAACAAAGTGTGAACTAGATATCACGAAAAGCCTTCTTCTTTGTCTATTGCTTCCCAATCCCATTTTACACACACACACACACACACACACACACACACACACACAGAAAGGAGCGGGGGTGTCTTCCCGGGCAAGGGGTCCAATGGGGAATGAAATGGCTGTGGGGGAGATGTGCCCAGTGATGGACTGACCTCAAAACTGACCAGGGTTCAAGGATTTTAGGCCATTAACCAAGACAGAGAAAGCACAGTGTAGGACAGCATTTCCCCAAAGCCTTGTCTGCGTTGTCCAGTGAGGCGACAAAAGCCAGTGCTGATCTCTCATCAGAGCCCAACTTTCGTGCTTACACGGCTGGCATTTATACCTTGCTGCACCGGTAGGCAATGATCTGTCCATTGTGCCACACCAAGACTGTTTCGATGGAGCCAGCGGTACTGGATATGTTGACGATGGCCGCCTTGCTGCAGCTCATCCCTCCCTGGGGGCTTTCCTTAGCTGCCTTCCTCAGCAAGGGCAGGAATGCCTGAAGGAGAGGAGGAGAGAATCAAGGCAGCCAGAAGCCCTGTGGGGAGGGCTGAGCACCTCCTCAAAGACCACTGTGGGAGCAAACCAGTTGCATGCCAGGCTGTACTGGGAGGTTGCTGCCATTTATCATCACAGCAGCTGCTTCCAGTCCCAGTGCATCAGGGACAGCTTTCACCCATCACTTCACCTTCCCAACCAGGAAGACTGCCCTGGCCAAATTCTGCCTGCTCTGCAGGTGTCACATACATTTTCAGTTCAGGAAAAAGGCAGCCCTACCTAGGAACCCTTCAGCAAGAAGCCCTGGGGCCAGTCCACCTTTTCCAGAATTTAAGGGCTCTGCTACCAAGAAGGCACTTCTGTGAAGCAGGGACCATTGGATGGCTTTACCTGGCTCATCAGTAGAGGTCCAATCACATTGGTCTTGTACACCTCAGTCATGTCCTCTGGTGTCGTGGATTCCACCGTTCCTGACTTTATAATGGCAGCATTGTTTATCAGCAGATTCAGCCCAGCTCCGTTCAGGTGCTCGGAGACTCTGGCTACAGCAGCCTGGATGCTGGACGGCTCAGAAGAGTCTACAGAGCATTCAGGAGATGTTAAAGGTGAGAAGACTGGTCAACATCTGAGATCCCCACCCGGCAAAGTGTTTCCTCCAAGGGAGGCTCAGAAGATGGCAACAAGAGGGCAAACCTCTTTAGTGGTGGCCCCCCAACCGGTGGAATGATCTCCCCTCCTTGACATCTTTTCTGGACTAGGTGAAGCCTCTCCCTTATTCCCAGACAGTTAATGCCAATGGTTTTGTTCAGCACCCAGCATAGGCCCCTCCCCGGCTGCCTCTTGTAGTGCCAAAAGAGTTAGAAGTGCAGAGGTACAGCACTTCACTGCACTCTTGTCACACAAAAGCTCAAGAATCTGAGGTTTAATAACCTGATCTTTGTTGAATTAAATGCTAACACGGTTTCTGAACAACCAGTGCACACATTTCTACTTAATTTGTGTAGTTTGTATATCAGGGTTGGACTGGGGATCTGGGAGATCCTGGTTGTGTCCTTCACACATTCATGAAGCTCACCGGGTGACTTTGGGCCAGGATAAAATGGAGGGAAGGAGAAGCTTGTAAGCTGCCTTGGGCTCCTTACACGAGGAAGGTGATGCGACGGTGATGCTGCTGATGAACACAGCAACAGAGACTTGCCCATGAAAATGTACCAGTGGGATGATTCTTCAGAGCTATCCTCGTGTTTTTAATGATTATATGAACCATTTGCTTATCATTTTCTGAACTGGAATACATTAGATCATGTATCACGATAACCTAGAACCATTATTTCAATCAGTTGCCCAAAGATAGGCAAGATTCCTGCATGAGATGCCATGCTCAAACAGGTGTGCAAGAGCAAGCATGATCGGTTCACAAATTATGTAAATATGGCACTTCTTGGAAAAGAGCAGGTTTGTTCTGGAAAGCTGGGCTATGCTGGTACTCCATAGCAACAAGCAGACTTTGATGTTCAAAAAAGGATTGTACGTCTCCCTGGCACAACATTGGATGGCTAGAGAATATGTGAAAACTCGATTTCTGTGTGAGGAAACCTCTCAGCCATTTTCCCAAGAGAAAGTTGTGCTTAAATGTGATTTACATTTAAAACTTACCCTGCTCATAAGATAGCCTTGAAATTAATAACAAATGGAGAACAATACACATTTATGGTGCAACTTTGTATATGCTGATACAGAAGGAAGCCCCATGAGTTCAACAGGGCTTTCCCCAGGCAAGTGCATGTATGCCTGAAACATACATCTACAAATAAAGCAATATTTTGAGCAGCTGACACGTGCTGTTAATTACATAGCTACATTTGTGAAAGGTCCTTAAGTCGACCGTTGGTTAACGAAAAGGAAATTTACCAAGCTCATACCCAGTGGGATGATCTGTAACCCCTGGTGTTTGGCAGCCAAATTCCTCAAGTCCTAAAATGATACAAACAGGGCATTTAAGATGAAGCAGCACATCCACCAAAGATGTTTGTGGAAGATGAGACAGGGAAAAATGAAGGACATTAAAGCAAACATGGCTTCCATTCTCACCTGGTCATACCTTCCTTACCTTGCTGTGCTTGTGCCAAAGCAATGGGAAGAAAGTATCCCAGTCTGAGCCATGAATGTGTTAACAGTCCTGCTCTGAGTGAGGGAAACCAGAAAGGTCAAGGCCCGTAAAGTATATTTTCTTCATCCACCATCCTCCACCCACCATCCTCCTGTCCTCACAATCAGTTATCTAGATGAGAATATTATTCTTTCGGATGTCCTCTCAGTAACACAATTAGTGACCCCTTTCACAAGTGGCAATTTGTTTTCTTTCTCCCAGCCTTCCAATACATTTTCTAATCAGAACAGACATTGCAGTCATAAGCACTTTCACCAAGGGATTAGTTTGTCCAGTCTCAAGACAATTTTCAACTTATAGTCATACATGTTTTCTTTTCCAAAACCTATGATCAGGTTTACTTTCATAATTTCCAGCACATAAGACAAACACTTCTCCCTTTAAAAGCTCCTCAGAACAATGAGTGGAAGAAATCTTTCACTTTTTCTCTTATGTTCCCCATAATTCTGTAAAGAAGGAGATGATCCAATTGTATAACTAATCTGTTCTCTTGTAAATAGAAGCTAAAACTTCTTCAAAGTACAAAAGCTGCTGCAGAAAGTGGAAGGCAAAAAGCCTTCCAAGATGGCCCCTCTGCTTTCTTTGCTTTGGGGCAAATTCCCTTTCTTTTGCATTCTTCCAAGGACAAACTCACCTGTGCACGAGGTCCGTCTGGGTACCGGCAGGTGGCAAAGATCCATTCTGGCCGGTTGTTTTTCTCCACCAACTGCTTGACCAGCTCCCAGCCTATTCCCCGGTTGGAACCCGTCACCAGGATACTGCGTGCCTTCAGGGCATCCATTTCCCCTTCCTAGCCCTGCTTGAGGTGACCTTGCCTTTTGATGAGAAATTTAAGGAGAACCCGGCCCTGCCTTGCATAAGCTTCCTGGCCCTTCTGCCAGGTGGGAGTTCAAACAGTAATTAAAACCAGAGCGAAAAAGGAAATCCTCCAAGGAGTTTGGAGAAGCGTTCTGGGTGACTTGCAGCTGCGGTTGGATTCTGCTGAGCTCTGTTGCAACTTGTTCGGAGGGACAAAGTATATCAATCTTTCACATAGTTAATATCTAACCAAATGAAGACATCTCTCACTTAGATAGGGTAATAGAGGCTATTAAAAAGAAAATAAATTAGAATGCTAGTGTAAAACTGAATGTCTTAAAATGAATGCTAACATAAATTGTTTGCTAAACATATCACCCTTGGTTAACCATTCCATTGCACATTGCCTCTCTTAGTAAAGAGTCAGAGAAGTGCATCTTTAGTTAAGACAAGTAGTAAAATAAAAAAGGGGTGTCCACCTTTATAACCCTGATCATTTCATTGCTTAGGGTGGCTTTCAATGTCACCTCTTCAGCTAACAACCTGAAGCTTGACATTCATGCCCTTGACAGGGCCCACCAATATTTTCAGACATGTGAACATATCTGAGCATTTGAGCTATGGCTTTGGGTGCCATTGCAGAAAGGGAGGATTTTTGGAGGGGAGGAACTGCTTTTTCTGGTTCATGGATTCAGAGGTCTAACTAAAGAAAGATTCAGTGGAAAAAGCAAAGGGATTTTTAGAAAAAGATCTAAAAGCGTTCACAGCCTGCAGAGTGGGAGGCAGAAAGTCCAAGTTTCTCTCCCAAATACTTACAGGCAATTGTATTTCTTCAATGTATGAGGAAGCACCAGCCTATGCACAACTACCGGTCACAACAAGATGGCTCCCCTGGAGGATGTGACCAGTCATATAATGGCCTCCATGGGGGCCACGCTATTCAAAGAATGAGCAATTCACCCAAGAAAATGAGCACAAGCAGAGGACGGGCCTGAACCCCAAAGCCAGTCCACATATTCGACCCCACTGAAGCACAAATAACAAACACAAGAACAAAATTCATCCACAAGACAATGTAGCTGCTGGTCCACAACCCACAGCATCCAGGGTCAAATAGCTAGTCTAGGGCATGCCATCTACTGAACACTGATCTGTACTTTGAGCCTTATCTGACTACAGAAGAGACCTGTAATAAAATGCTGTGTGTGATACATCAGCTCCCCTCTGGGGAGTGCTTTGTTGACCTGGCTCACATTTGCACTAACAAAGCTGGGCTCTCTCATGAGCCTGCCCTCCCTCCTAAAACATCCCTGTTTGTGAACAAAAAGGAGTCTTGTGGCACCTTTGTCTTTGTGGCACCAAGACTAGCACATACATTTGGGGCATAAGACTTCATGGACACCAATCACTTCACTACTCTGGAAACTGTTTGCTGCTTATTTAAGCTATTTGGACCGTGTGTTAGCCTAGAGTTGCTATCTGGAAACAGAGCAGAAGTGTGCAGGTCTGGAAAGCACAGCAAAGCATAGCTGCATTCTTTCTAGGCCTGCCCAAGTTCTGTTTTGGCAATAACCAAAGGACCAGCATCCTGCCTAACGAACAAATGGTTCCTGCCTTTCCGTCTTGCTTGCTGTTGTGCCTGCCTCTTGCCAGACCCATTTCTTGCCTGTTCTGGGTCCTCAGCTTCTACTCAGCAATGCAGAGCTTCTTGCAAGCTGTGCTTCACCTCCTGCCTCTTGCCTGCCTCTTGCTGCCTTGGTGTGGATCCTGCCCTGTTATCCTGCCCAAGGTACCTGCACCTCCCTTTGTACTCCTGGTTCTTGATCCTTAGCTTGCTCCTGCCCTTTTCCTGCCTGCCACAGCCAAGGTTTACTGCCAGTAACAGCTGCAACCAAGTGGGAGTTGTGTGTTTTGATAAACCTGTTGGGTGTAGGGTCCTGCTATAGACCCCAAGAAAGAGTTAGGTAGCCCAGGAAGCAAGGCAAAAAGATATCAGCACTACAGAAAACTTCAAATCAGGCTGGAAACCAGACAAGCCTCTCTGTTTGTTGCTCCAACAAAGGTCAGAGAAAGTCTGCAGCTTACATAGGATATTACTAGCTGTTTGGCTGCACCACTATACCTACCAAGACGTAGGTCCTTAGAAGGGCCTCATCTCTTTCAGCAACCTCAGGTTGCCTTGACATGGGGGAGCCTGCCAGATGGGACTCCTTCCAGAAAGATGGACTGTGGGGAGCTGGGAGCCTCACTGTGCTTTCCATGGTCAAGACCACTTCTATTGACTCCAGAGTTGTTTCTGGGAGCACGGGCTCAGAGTCTTCTGGGACGATGGCTGGGGTGCTGGTCCTTGACAGGCACCGGCACAGGGATGAAGCAGCTGCCTCCTCTCTTCCCCAGGGATCCCAACACAGCAAACCTTGAAGAGTGCGCACATGTGTATGGCACCCCAACCAACACTGAAGGTAGCTCTCAAAGCCCTCAAAGCAAAGTCTGTGCATCATTGTCGGCCATGGCTCATCGCGCCAATGTCAGTGAGGCAGCATAGCTAGTCTGGGTGCAGCACCATGGATAGCTGCTTTGACGCCAGCGACATTGCCTCCTCCCTGGACTTCGAAGGAGTCATCCACGGAGTTGAACTTCCAAAGTCCCTTGGAAGGTCTGGGATCTTTTGCTGGGTTTAATGTGGCTGCCGGAGAAAACATGCTCTAGCTTTGCATTCACACACAACTCTTAAGAAGTTCACCTCCGTGAAGGAAATTAGGAGGGTGAGTACTCGGAGGAGGGCTTTCTCTGTGGTGGCGCCCAATCTATGGAATGCGCTCCCCAGAGAGGTCTGCCTGGCGCCGTCGTTATCTGTTTTTCGGTGCCAGGTGAAGACCTTTTTATTCAAATGTTATTTTAATTGTTAATATTATTTATTCATTTTATTCTTTGGCCAGGGCGACTTAATTTATATTGTTAATTTATATTATTCTATTTTTATTTATGGTTGTGAGCCACCCCGAGGCTTCGGAGAATGGGGCGGCATAGAAGTCTCCTAAATAAATAAAATAATAAATAAATAAGAAGCAAGGGAATTTTATTCAGCAGAAAATATAGAGCAAGAACAAGCTTTAACCTGAAGTTGCCTGGGCAGCAAATATTCCTACTGCATCCCAGTCTTACTCTATATTTCTAAAGAGATAAGGAGCTTCTTCCCTGACAGCCTTATAGATAAGAGAAGCTAAAAGAGAAACAGAGAACATGTCTGCTAACTTGTCCGTCAGCTTTATTGGAAGATGGTTGATAACAGTTTTGCATGGGCAGGAAGGGTGAAGAAGTCCACATTCCAGGTAGGGTTGCCAGCCCCAGGGTTCAGAATTTGCCCCATGTTCTAAATCTCTGGTCCATGGACTCCTTCCCTCTGTACCTGCTTCTGTGGGATATAGGAAAATTCCCGTTGTTTCTCGGAGTTATGCTAATTGTTGGATGGATGTTTGATTGCTCTTTATGACCTTATTCACTGCTGGAGGTGGGAGGAGAAAAAGAAATGGGCTGCAGCTACCACACTTTTAACCCCTCCACAAAAAAATTCTAAATAATACCTCCATCCCCAGGCAAAAAATGATATGTTTTGCTCCCTGATGCCCACGAAATCGCTGTTCACCATTCTGAGAGTGTCCACTAAAGAACAGTTTATAAACACTTTAAATAAATAAATAAAAATGAACCATGACCCAAAGCTTTTAAACTTTTGGCACACCTGTAATCCTTAGTGGTGGTAGGATGCCAGAATAGATCGTCTTACAGATTAGCAGCTGGTTAAACAGGAAAAAAGAAAATGGAAAGAAATGGGTAAGATCTGCAATGGATGAATGCAAGAAATACAATCCCTCAAAGGTCTCTTATGGACTGGTGCTTTTTAATATGTTCATAAGTCATCTGGCATTAAGGCTGAGCAGTGTGATGGCCACACAGGCTGATGTTACTCACAGCAGTCAAAAACAAACAAGGGTTTCAAGGGCCTCCAAGCAGAAATGGCCAGTGCGGTTCAATGGGAGTGATTTACATTACTAAACAGCAAGGCCATGATGGTCACAAGCTGAGCTCTTTGATTTCCATTTCCCTCTGATTTCGCCACTTACAATCCCTCCTCCAACCACATGTCAACAATTCAAACCTACACATATGTACATATGTCTCTTAGGGTGGCATTTCAGGTATCTGACAAAGTAGACAGCAAACCACAAAAGCCAATGTCACAATACATTTGTTAGCCTTTAAGGTAGCCATGACTGTTGAGAGCCTCCTTCAGGTAGTAACATATGAGCAATTCATCTTAGTTCATTTCCTTATCAGCATCTACCTAGTTCAGAGCTTCCAGATCAAACGTGGGTTCAGAACCAATCTGCAGTTGAAGTCTGTACATTTTCAGGCATCCAAGACATGTACATCTCAGTGGGGACAGGAACTTAACAGCAAAGACCACAAAACTGAGTGGCTCCCAAGCACCGCTGTGGAAGAGGTCTGCTGAAATAGATGAGTGGCTGTCCACAGATCTTGCACATTACTTTGGGCTGCTGCGATTAATTAGTGCCTTCCCAAATCTGGTAGCCTCCAGAGGTGCCTAGCTAAAACTCCCAGAATCCACAGCCCTCCATGATGACCGAAGAATGCTGGGTATTTCTATCTTCCAGGGTATTAGCTATTCCACACAAGTCAGTGTCATCTGCAAATCTGGTGAGCATTCCCTGCACTGCCTTATCCAAGTCATTAATAAAAATGTTGGAAATAGCGAACCCTGCAGTATCCACTCATGATCTCAGCTCAGCCTGAAAAGGGAGCATTGATACGCACCCTTCGAGTCGGACTCTGTAGCCAGCTGCAGATCCACCTGACAGCTGCTCCCTCTAGCCTACTTCTAGCTTGTCTGCTGATCAGGCTATCATGGGGCACCTCGTCTAAAGCAGGGCAGCAGGGTGGGCTATGCCACAATAGCATCCCTACGTTGCTTCTTTGCCCAAAACAAGGTAGATGCCCTCATAGCTTACACCAGAGCCAAGGGGGTTCCCAGTGAGTAAGACTGTTGTTAGGGGTCCCTGTAACTCCCCACTCCCAACTCTCCAGCCTGGGTTGGTGCCATGCTGGGTTGGTGCCATGCACC